ACACACACACACACACGCACACACACACAAACACTCACTCACTCACGCACACACACACACACACACACACAGTCAAACACTCACGCACACACACACACACACGCATGCACGCACGCATGCAGTCAAACACACACTCACACACACACACAAACACACTCACTCACACGCGCACACGCACACACACACACACACACACACAGTCAAACACTCACACACACACGCACGCACACACACAGTCAAACACACACTCACGCTCACTCGCACACACACACACGCACGCACTCGCACGTGCATGCACACGCACACGCACAGTCAAACACACACCTTTCTCCTCGTTGGTAAATCCTGAATCGGCTGTTTCTTCTTTCAGTAGTTTGCGTAAAGCCATGGTTTTACTGGCACACACGTATCCATACCTGCAGGAAACACACACACACACAGCATCTCATGATGGTTTCATCTAAAACGTTCACGATCAGGATGGGAAACGAGTGTTTCTCATCGATCTGTCATAGTGATAGGAGATGTTTAGATGTGTGTCAGTGTGTGTGTGTGTGTGTGTGAGTGTGAGTGAGTGCGTGTGTGTGTGTGTGTGTGTGTGTGAGTGAGTGCGTGTGAGTGCGTGCGTGAGTGAGTGTGTGTGCGTGCGTGAGTGAGTGTGTGTGCGTGCGTGAGTGTGTGTGCGTGAGAGTGAGTGTGTGTGTGAGCGTGAGTGTGTGTGCGTGTGAGTGAGTGTGTGTGTGTGCGTGTGTGTGTGTGTGAGAGTGTGTGAGTGTGTGCGTGAGTGAGAGTGTGTGAGTGTGTGCGTGAGTGAGAGAGTGCGTGTGAGTGTGTGCGTGAGTGAGTGTGTGTGTGTGCGTGAGTGAGTGTGTGTGCGTGCGTGAGTGTGTGTGCGTGAGAGTGAGTGTGTGTGTGTGTGCGTTAGTGAGTGACTGACTGTGTGTGAGTGCGTGTGTGTGCGTGCGTGAGTGAGTGTGTGCGTGTGAGTGTGTGCGTGCGTGAGTGCGTGTGTGAGTGAGTGTGTGAGTGAGTGAGTGAGTGTGTGTGAGTGAGAGCGTGTGTGTGAGAGTGTGTGTGTGTGTGTGTGTGAGTGAGTGTGTGTGTGCGACTGAGTGCGT